ATGGAGAGATACATGTCAAGTCTAGTCGTTAGAAAATACGAGAAAAATGTTCTAAACTTATATATAAATGGAGACATGAACAACCCACAACACAGGCCTCTACTATCGACCTTTAATCGATTTAAGAAGGTGTTTTTAGAAGATTTTGTCAAGCAGTATAACATTCCATTATCGGCACCCAGGTATTTACTGTTGTCGTGGATCGTTTTGCCAATTTTGCAATCGCTCTCTGCATGCACCATTTGTACGATTTTTGTGGAGCAAAATGTTTCGTAGACTTGTTGGAAAGCGAGTGAAATTGTTTTGACGATACATTTGGCGTGCGGATGTTCCTCACTTTGCAATAGGTGCAATTGCCCTTTGACGTCCAAAACTACATCGCGGGATACAAAGCCAAAAACATATATATCGTCGACAAATTCGCTCTGGATACGTTCTAGATCTTTCGGCTGGTCTCGGCAATTTGATACGTAGTCCAAGGTGGAAACGTCGCAGAGCAAATTGTTCTGGTATGCGTTGGACAGTAGCAAAGCGGGCCAATGCGTTTTTGGGAGCGTAGACCAAGTGTGCGCAGGCAGATGTTTTGCACTGGTGTTTCTATCGGATTGGATTTCATCTTCTTCTATAATATAGGATTTATAATTTTAAAAAGTGGCATACGATTTCAATATTGTCGGCTGCTTTCCTATATAGCGGCCCCCCCAAAAAAAATCTGGGGATGGCTATTTGGCTAGAATATTTGAGATCGGTTGGAATATTTTGTACTTGGCCAGAATATTTTTGGTTGGTTTGAATATTTGTGATCGGTTGGGATAGCCTATTTTGAGCTGGGTAAAATATTTTTGGTTGGCTGGAATATTTTGGGCAAAAAAATTATCCTATACCGTGGCGTGCAGTAGAGGATATAGGGTATATAGAATAGGAAAGGAATGAGGGTAGGGGGGTCTTATGATAACGACTTGACTTAACATGTTTTTTTTAATATACTGTTATTTTTATATATTGTCCGTTTATTTAAGGTGGTTGTAAACTGTGAGAAGTCACGAGTTCAGGCCGGGAAAGCGAGGAAAATCCCCTTTTCTTTCTTTGTGAGTCACGGGGTAAAAGGTCTAGGTTGTTTATGCGAGGTCTGTGCAGGTCGGCGCACGTCGCGAGTTGTTGACAAAAAAAGTGGGAAACCCCAGCGCAGGTGTGGAAAGGGAGAAACGGGGTAGAAAAGGGAGGTGCGCTCAAACTGGCGTATCCCTACTACTTCGTGTGTGTACAAAAGTAATGGCAAGAAGGCGACGGTGCAACCCGACGGCACGACGCAAGAGAGCCGTCGTGCCATCGCGTCGTGTAGTTGCGTCGCCTGGAGGGAAGTTAAAGAGAGAGAGAAATGTGTGTCGTAAATAGTACACCATACGACAGAGGCACACGGACGTATATAAAAAACTCTCGACTTGCAACGCCTTTATATGAAAAAGAAGCCAACCAGCGGCCATTTTACCGAGCCGGATACAAAAGTGTGGGTTGGCTCCCTTCTACTGACGTCAGGAAGAACAAAGGCGGGGGCATTGCCATGAAAGCCTTGTATTCGGCTCGGTAAAATGGCTGCGAGTGGATTCAATGACTCTATAAGCTGATTAAGAGCATTGCGAGTCCAGATTTTATTATACACGTCCGTGGCACAGGCACGGTTCAGGATGGCGGCCGGATCACCGCTTGCAACATGGCGCCGGTCAAAAATTTCCAGAAGTGACTAGATACTAACCCGTGAAACCTGGTCTGCTATTTTTCTCAAGACTCTTAGAGGGTTTTCGATTGGACTCTGTTTCTGCATCAACTGAAAAAGGAAATCCCAAACATAATTATAAAATTGGTAGATCGCATAGCACACACGGATCGGATTCGAACCAGGGTCTACGGATCTGCAGTTCAAATCACTACCAACTAAGCTACCGAAGCGACGTAATGGATTTCCGTTTTTGAAATGCCACCCCCCCTCTTCATAAATCATTGTCCCCCAGCTAACTACTGAAAAAAAGTAGCGCGCCAGGTTTCACGGGCTAGTATTAAGTCTCGCCGGGACACCGCTGTCAACATGGAGCAGGTCCTGTGTGTGCCATCATCCCCGGCAACCGCGGGAAGACGGACTGGGCACCAGTATGTTTCTCTCATATTAGTATAGATAGATGCTGGCAAATATTTCCCCAAGGCCTTTTCCGAGCTGGGTTTTTAATGAAGTAACTGAATGAAAAAATATTACGAATTCTAATATTTTTGCACATTTTTTTCCACCGAAGATTCCGGAAGCGTGGCATCAGGGGTCAACTTTCAGGCTCTATTTGACCTTATTCACAAGTCGGCCATATCGAATTGACAGCGAGGCTACCATTTTTATTTGGATATCTAAAAATAGAAACACAAGGAATGAAATAAATGTTCATCACAGGTTCATTTCATTTCTAATGAAGAATAATTTAAATCTTGTAACATTTTATATATAGATGTTTAAAGCAACAGTTATAAAAAGAGAGTGAAGGGAAAACCAAACATAGTACCGACCCATCTGACAGATCATAACGGATAAGGTAGATTCAAGAAACATGATCCAAATAGCTTCCTTGTGGATAAGGTCTACATTGACGATTGCTCGTGTCTCTTCGGGGCCATCGTTCGAGTATGTACGCGCATTGCGCAAAGATGTTTACAAAATCAGTTTTCCAAATCGTGGTTCCTTTCCATTTTGTTTGTCTCTAACATCGAAACCGATTGCCGTCCTATAATTTTAGAAACAGGTCCAGTTATTTCATTTTTGCCAATTATAAAGAATTAGATAATTCTTTTGAAGAGCAAGATCTTTTTTGAGCAAACAATTACAATTCTGGACGATAAAAATCTGGTGGATCCTATTTGGAAACGAAGTCCAGATTTGAAACACGGTGCTGCGACATGTACTACCGGTACCAAAATTAATGCGTACTAATGACGTATAACTAAAGGTGTCAGGTCAACTCGCCCCCTGACCGACTCGCCCCGTTCCAACTCGCCCCCTCGTAAACTCGCCCCCTTTCCAACTCGCCCCATGACCGACTCGCCTCTTACCAACTCGCCTTCTGGCCGACATGCCCCCTGCTGACCGACTCGCCCCCTATAGGAACGTCAAGCAAACATGGCCGGTCCAATGTATTAAAAAAACACCAGTGGTTCTAACCAACGACGCGACACGAACGACTGACGGACGGTGATGGATATTTGGACATCACCACTAATCACTTATTTATTCAAACGCTTCCTACGTCCACTGTCTGATTAGGTTATTTGTACTTCCAAAAAGTACCCTCAGGATCAACAACTTCGAACCCTCCGTCCCATTAATATTTGGGTATGTGACTGTATCTTCTTGTAGTGACCCGATATCCAGTTAGTTAGTTATAGTGTTCTGTTGCTCATTCACTCAACTGGGATCTCACATATTGATTTAGGTACTTTTTGTGTGATGTATAAAGTCATAGTGGTACATTGTACACTAATGTCAATTTTTAACGTCCCATTATTAAATTTTTTTTATTTGCGTAATTTTTCTTCCTTTTTTTGAATTGAATACCTTTGAGAGTGTTTTAATTTGTTTACTAGTAAAGGGCACCCGATGACATGACTGTTTTTCCATGACGTCATGACACCGACAGTGCATGCTGGGATATAATTCAATATGGCCGATCAACAATGTGATCCTTGATGACTGTACTCGCCGAATAAATCAGTATTTAGTGTTAATTGTGAACTAATAAATGCATCCCGTTATCGGAACCTGAAAGTGTGTAGCGACCGTTACACCCTTTGTCATAAATCATGTCTCCTTAACACTTCCGTAGGTTAGCGTCGCCGGACATTATGCCTAATATGTGCCATTTTTTTATCCGAAATAGTCCGCAAAGTTAATTAATATGGTAGAGTGTTGATGTTGTGGCGCACAAAATCCCATAGACAATACACAGGAAACGCTGCGCCATGGCCCATACACACGATAATACTGAATTAGTTTTACCAATATCAAAAATAAATATTGTTACCCCCCAAATTCTACAAAAAGGGAATATCCACCAAGCTTTAAACAAACTCAACTTTGAGTGCCAGCTGCAAACCCCAGAACCTATTTTAAGGGCAGCAATCACCGATTCCATCTCTGACTGATTGTATTTTTTATTGAATGGTGAATGGGCCGGCCATACGTGTTTGGCAAACCTTAGGGGGCGAGTTGGCTAGGGGGCGAGTTGGCTAGGGGGCGAGTCGGTCGGGGGCGAGTCGGTAAGGGGCGAGCTGGTAAGGGGCGAGTCGGCCAGGGGGCGAGTTGACCTACAATCTGACTAAATATATGCGGGGCAGGCCTACATGCATTTGAAAAGTGTTCGTTGCTTTTTTTTCTCAGTTATCTGGAGATATAAATCGTCTACATCGCTGATGAGGATGGACATTATACTGCCAAGACTACATTAGTGATATCAAGTACGTGTAGCCCTATGTATTATTACTGGGTGTGATCGTTGGAAGGGCTGATCAGCGCCATTCTCGTAGTCGGACTAGGCTAGTACTAAGATTATTCCATTGCGCTCAACGTCTGGGCTGTGGGCAAACATGGCAAACGGGCAACTCTCCATTCACTTTGCCATGTTTGTACAGGGATTTGCATGTTTTTCTCATGTTTTGCTGCATTATGATAAAGTACTTTAAACCTTTTTGGTACAGTGTGGGAGATATTCACAGTGCATAAATACTGAAATTTCAGACATATTTGCAGGCCTAAAGATTGTAGGTCAACTCGCCCCCTGGCCGACTTGCCCCATACCAGCTCGCCCCTTACCAACTTGCCCCCTAGCCAACTTGCCTCCTTACCAACTCGCCTCCTGACCGACTTGCCCCCTGGCCAACTGGCCCCCTAAGTTTGCCAAGCACGTATGGCCGGCCCATTCACCATTTAATAAAAAGTACAATCAGTCAGAGATGGAATCTGTGATTGCTGCCCTTAAAAATAGGTTCTGGGGTTTGCAGCGGACACTCAAAGTTGAGTTTGTTCAAAGCTTGGTGGATATTCCCTTTCTGTAGAATTTGGGGGGTAACAATATTTATTTTTGATATTGGTAAAACTAATTCAGTATTATCGTGTGTATGGGCCATGGCGCAGCGTTTCCTGTGTATTGTCTATGGGACTTTGTGCACCACAACACCAACACTCTACCATATTAAATAACTTTGCGGACTATTTCGGATAAAAAATATGGTACATATAAGCCAAAATGCCCGGCGATGCAAACCTACGGAAGTGTTAAGGAGACATGATTTATGACAAAGGGTGTAACGGTCGCTACACACTTTCAGGTTCCGATAACGGGATGCATTTATTAGTTCACAATTGACACTAAATACTGATTTATTCGGCGAGTACAGTCATCAAGGATCACATTGTTGATCGGCCATATTGAATTATATCCCAGCACTGTCGGTGTCATGACTCATGGAAAAACAGTCAAGTCATCTGGTGCCCGTTACTTGTAAACAAATTAAGAGCACTCTGAAAGATATTCAATTCAAAAAAGGAATAAAAATTATGCAAATAAAAAAATTAATAATGGGGCGTTACAAATTTACATTAGTGTACCCTGTACCACTATGACTTTATACATCACACAAAAAGTGTATATCCAAGAACCTCAATCAATTTTTGCAGTATATGTGAGGTCCCAGTCGAGTGAATGAGCAACAGAACACTATAACTAACTGGATATCGGGTCACTACAAGAAGATACAGTCACATACCCAAATATTAATGGGACGGATCAAGGGTTCGAAGTTGTTGATCCTGAGGGTATGTTGGATGTACAAATAACCTAATCAGACAGTGGACGAAGGAAGCATTCGAATAAATAAGGGATTAGTGGTGATTAGTAGTCCAAATATCTATCACCGTCCGTGAGTCATTCGTGTCGCATCGTTGGTTAGAACCATTGTTTTTTTAATACATTGGGCCAGCCATATTTGCTTGACGTTCCTAGGGGGCGAGTCGGTCAGGGGGCGAGTCGGCCAGGGGGCGAGTCAGTCAGGGGGCGAGTCGGCCAGGAGGCGAGTTGGTACGAGGTGAATCGGTCAGGGGGCGAGTTTACGAGGGGGTGAGTTGGAAAGGGGCGAGTTGGTAAGGGGCGAGTCGGTCAGGGGGCGAGTTGACCTGACACCGGCCTAAAGCCCAAAGGTACTTTAGTCAATCATGTCAAGTAGACCCTAGTAGTTAACATATGACGGTTACCCCTAGGACTGTGGGGTCTGACGTCCGCTCCGCTCCCACGAACCCCAAGAAAATGAGCCTGCACCAGCACCTCTGTTTTGTCTGAATTAAGCTCTTTCAAAAAGTGTCAAGTACTTTCTTCAGTTATTTCTGTCCGTTGTGCTTTGTCTTTTCATGTTGGGATATGGTGAGTATGCTGGCATTCTGATCAGACTATGACATACATGTGATAACCAGCCTGTAAATTCCAAAAAAAACTGACTTTTAAGTTGGTCTGATTGCTACCGCTAGCACAGGTCTAGCCTGTCTATTGATTTGGTTTTATTGTCACAGACAGCAAAGCAAAGCTGATCATGGACTACATTGCTGCGATGTGCATGTACAACATGTAGTTGCTTTATTATCATGCAGGTAAGCCGGACTTCAGAGCACAAGTAAGGAGAGGCTGCAACTGCATTCATCATGCCTATCAAACATAAGGAGCTGTACATTGCTAAGTCAATGCATGAACTCAACCTGAAGACAAATGTTGATACTGACAAAAATACCAAAATAAAAATGTAAGTTTATTTCAAAAGTTTTTTGTACAGTTTTCATGAATCTTCTACTGTCACTCAGTATTAAGCTTCAGTTGAATTTATTTTGTACTTGGTTACTTGTTGAGAGCCAAGGCCCAGTGGTTCTGTCAATCGACCTGTATGAAGTGGTGTGTGGGTTCAAACCCATGGGTGCCATATGCTTTCAACCATGAGCAAGACACTTTACAACATTTTCCACCCACAGTATAGAAGTGTACAGTATACATGTAGGTGGAAAATGGTTTGCGTTCATCACAAACTGCTACAGAGAGATATTCTCATTGAAAAGAATCAGGAAAATGTTGAGCAAGTTTATCCCTCTGAGGAAAAAATGCTATACATGTACATGTACAGCAAAGTTTCTTACTGCATATTACAAGTTGTAGTAAATCAGTAAACTCAACAAAAATATCCAAAGTCATCAACTGAGACTTTGGAGGAGTGTCAAGCCTCTGCTAAAGTAATAGTGAATGGACCCTTTCAAAGTCTTCCAAAATATGATGGACTTTGAAGGGTGGTCTCATTGTCAACCCAGCATTCAGATATCAATGATGTACCAATACTGCTATACATGTACATTCAAAGTGATGTGTTAACATATTTTTTTCTACATTGTACATTGCTGCAGATACTGTAGGTCTGCCAATAGGATGTTCCAAGAGGCTGAAAAGGCTGACAGGAATATGGATGAAGAACGTGCTTATGTCCTGTACATGAAGTTTACCAGCCTTGTGCAGTATATATGTAAGGCAAAGGAGTACAAAGCAGATAAGGTACATGTACAAGTTAATGTTTGTGTATCACAGCTCAGGAAGTGAGGTCATTGATAAGAAATAACACTCCAAGTGAAAATGTACACACATATGGTATGTTAGAAAGGTAATGGGAGAATGGTTAAACTAGTTTCTGTATGCGTTTACATTGAACTTGTTTGTCACGTAACACAAAAACAAACTAACTGCTTGTTTATCTCGGGAAATATCGAAGCATATGTAACGGGGAAAAATGGCACTCTATGGGGAACTCGCAAAACAACAAAAAACTCTAAGCCAAGGATCTTTGAGGGAAGGCCACAGGAAACTGAATTAATAGGGACCCAGACACCAATATTTGACCTCCAAAAAATGGACAAAAAAGAATTTATTAATGAAAAAGGACTGAAAAAATGCAAAAAACAAAGGGAAAAAAGGACTAAAAAACACACTGAAAACTTTAAAAGGACTTAAAAAATCGCAGTGTGTATAAGTGGCTTTTCAAGTACACTCCAACAAGAAGTCTGTAGACCAAGAAAAGAAGAGTAAAGAATAAAACAAAAACAGGGTCTGCTAAATGTTCATGACACATTTAACAAGTTCTCTCATACAATTTACCAAGGAAGTGGAAGACGCTAATCCCCAAGCAAGAAAGAATACATTCTGCAACAAGCCCAGTGTGTGGCATCACTATGGACTAATTAGTGAGTGCAGTGGGAAAATTCGGATTAAAACTAAAGCACATGCATGGTCTTGACCCACTAAACTCTACACCTGTCTTATTTGATGTACAAAAGACAATGAGAGAATCTAGAAAGCAAATGAATTACCAGTTTGACAGAAAAGAATAAAGCATGGTCCATCCAGTACTTGACCCAAGTTGAATTTAGCAAGCTGAAATACTTTCTCCAAAGAATTCAAATAGATTGAAACTCCCAATAAAAATCTTGTTTACCTCATCAAAAAGTTCAATAAGAATTACTACCATCAAGAGCAAAATCAGTAATGAATCTGATATAATGAATAAGTTGGGTGAATAGAACAGTTCCAAAACCTCAAAATGAGAGCTTCTTCAAAAGACTGACCTTGTCCAAAATCAAAGTTTACTTTGTAAACTACACAAACTTAAAACTACAATGAATTAAAGTATACTAAAACTACTTACAATTTACAATACATGAAAGAAAACAATTATTATAGGAGCGAAGACTCACCAATGACTTGAGCAGACAAAACACAAGCAAGGCACACCACACTTCACTGCTGGTCAGTTGTACTGAACTGCCTTTACCAGGAAGCAACTTTACAGGGGACAACTTTATTGTGGGCTAAAGCAAACAAACGGGAACACACTACCAAGAAAAGAGGGGGTATCTAACTGAGACTGAAATGAATTTTGTTTTCTTTACTAAGGGGCACTACTCTTATCTTCTAAACAATAAAGAATACTTAAAATACAAGTGAAACTTGGCCCTGCCACACATACAATATTATTAAATTTGTCTGGTAATTTTTCTTGTTGCCTGATGGTCACAGTGAAGCAGACAAGTCCAAGCCAGTTGGTTTTCCTGGTGATATGGGTGCACCTTCCACCAGGCAAACATCAAAGGCATACTAGCTAAAACACCAGCAGTCAATTTCACGAAACGTGGCGTAACTTTGAACCATGTATTCAATTTCATGAAAAATTGCTCAGCTGCACAATGTTCAATTATATTAAAATTCGTGGTTGAGAACAATCGTGGCTGTTTCTTAGGGGTGAGCATTTGCGGGTATTTTTAGAACCGGGTACCCGTTTTCTGTTAACTTTGGGTACCCGGAAAAGAGATCACTTAAAAACAAATGGCATTGCGCGTGACCCGGTGGACCATGTGCCCGAAACAGGGTTCTCTTTGGTACAAAGGAAGCAAGCAGCACATTGTTCTAAACGTTGGAGTTACTCTCTCCTACCTTTTTATCAAACGAAATTGTTACCTTCAGTTTGCAAATGTTTTTTGTGGGTATATGAAACTGAAAACAAATCCTCACGGGGAACGTCAGAAAAGAGGACAGAGCTGCAAACCACCTACATGATGTTCGCTCTTGCAACCGCTCAAAGGAGATGTCCCGGATGCTGCATGACCACGTACACGCGGTATTCAGGTGTTGTGCACAAATGGCGAACACTGGTCGTGTCACATGCGGACCAGATCAGTGCTATATACGTCATGGGTTAAAAGGCTTAAAGTTTTATGTACAAAAATACCACTGTAACTCGCACAATGTCCACACCATTATATCCACTTATTTTGAAGTTTCTGATTCAAAAACCTGCCACCAAAATGCTTCAAACGGCATTGAAAGTATCGGAAGTCTATATAGGGTCAGGAGTCATCGCAAGTTCATTTCTTTTCTTACGAGGACCAGCACGTTGCATAAATCAACGTAGCTGCAACTGTGTAATCCTGGCTTTCAAGACGCTGAAACTAACCTGATTGCAACGCGGGCCCAATTGTAGTCCCCTTTCAGGCAGTCCAATCACTGACACTGCAACGACCATGTGACCGCAAAAGGAAAGGTCATGTGACCACACATAGGGAAGCCCAAGTGAAAAAAATAGCAGCGCTTCACGTTGTTAAATGACTGAGCGATACAAAAGTTTTGCCACACGAAGGTACGTATCACTATGAAGTGGTTTAGTTTAATAAATACTTTTTCTGAATAACTCCATTCCCCTGAGGTTCAATTGTCGAGATTTTAATGTATAAGTACTTTGACAAGTGACATTTGATTGGCCGACTGTATTATGACTTGCACCTGTCAACATTTCCCTTTTTTCGAATGAAAAAAATACTTAGATTTGAAATGCTTTTGTACATACAGAAAACATCCTTCCTGCTTTTTTGTTCAATCCTCATCCACAGTTACGCTGAATCACTGAGGAAATTCATGTTGCTTTAATTTAAAAATAATTTTGAAACGGCATATTTCTTGGTTTAACAAAACTAAACTGGTTCTCTGACTCCTTGGATTTGTAGCGCACATTTAGTGCTTTGGTTATAAAAAGAGGCCAATCAACCGCACAATTTGTGCGTGATCACTACTTACCGCACGTCAAGTGGAGCCCCAGTACCGCTGGAATATTACACAGTCCGCTCTCGCTTCGTCGTCAATCTCGACAAGTAATTCTCATTCATATTGTTTTATTTGACAAAAATACTCTTAACTCAAACATTAAGCACTACTAATTCCGCACAAAAGTCATTTAGGCCGACAGTTACAAATACAGTCATGCAAGTGTACATCAACAATGCTTCCACCTCATAAGACAAAACTCCTTCGGTCTCTTGTTCATATAGGTTTGGTACAGTCATTTTCCTAGTTCCGGATCACAAAAATTAATATTTAAAAAAATCCTCAAATTCGAGTAAAATATGGTCAGAAGTCAACTTTGTATTTTGGATATACCCCGGTACTTCAATTCTTTTTTCAAAATCTAAGCTTTTATATTTGGACTCACAGGATCGATCGAAGAAAGTGACGACGACACCTTTCCTAGTTCTGGATCGGTTTAGGATCGAGACAAAAGCAAAACAAATAAAAAGTAACCATACGAAAAATCAATTTTAAGCCAAAACCATTGCAAAAAGTTGCTTTTCTAATAAAGAATTTTTTAATTTTGAGAAAATTAGATGGAAAATAAGAATTCCAATGAATTAAAAAGTAGAAATTGCGTAAAGTTTGACTCAAGTTTTCAACTGTACAGTGATCTATCAATGGTACCCTCCCCGCGCCGCACAATTGACGAACCCATTACATCACATACATTTCTGCTGCGCCCGTGTAGTTGAGTTCACAACGACTTTGCGTGGTAACGCCGCGCGATCCGAAAGTAGGGGGGAAAAGCTTGCGTTTTTCAGCAAATTAACGGAAACTCTAAAAAAGTGATTTTGATTAAGCAGACATTAGATGCAAGGTTTATATGACTATTCAATTTAGATGCAAGGTTTATATGACTATTCAATTTGAAGAAATAGTTGAAATCATACGTAGTGAGTGACCTATCACCCGTGAATTTTAGTGGTTTTTTTGCTCTTGTGAACGAGGAAAATTCCGGAACTAGGAAACCGACTAGCGGTACAATGGGTGGAGTGGATAACAAAATTAGCTGTCGATCTCCGAATTCAAGTTTCATGTAGGACCGCGGGACCGGGTTTTCAGCGGCACGGTGGTTTTCCATGAAGTCTGCCCTTCAGTAAGAAATTTCACAGACATTTTATGCATGAGTGTTTGTTCCTAATTTATTTACTTTTTTACGGGTACCCGGCCCGGAAAAATGGAACCGGGTTTTGAAATCGACGGGCGGGTACCCGGCACAGGCCTAATGGCTTTTATGATGGCAGTTCCTTTACAATATTGCAGCAGTCACTGAACAGTTGTTGAAGTACTCCACCCCCCATTTTTAAAAAGTTTAATTTCGTTGTTAATTCATTTTAGCAATAATGGCTTTAACTGAACATGATGAGTTTGTTTAATCATTCATTTCTGCTTTGTTTGGTGCAACTTATTCTACGTTAAATGATTGCTCAATAGTAACTCCACAATGAAGTTACTCCATAATTTCTTGCACAGGTCCTAGATGTGAGCACTGCATAACTTTTACAAATGTGTCATAATTTGTTATGTAACTTAGGATTGAAATGTAGCCTAAGTAAAGTTATGCCGTTGTGTAAATTTTTGTTAAATCTGCTGCTGACAAAATAAATTAGCTTATGAAATAATTTAAATGTTTATAATAAAGTGCAATGCAGTTACAACAAACATGAGAGAGCTTACACAATATATTTGGTAAAATCATCATTCACTAATGCACCTGTTCCTGGCTCCAGCCTGCTCAAATGTGTGGCAGCCTGCCTCGGAAATATTTCTGTATTGAGATTTTTTGCTAACACTTTCAACTTACGTGTACAAAAACTGAAGTTGGAAATAAATAAAAACAGAAAGTCTGGCATTTTGGTAAATGTACCGGTATTATCTTAAGCCTTCATATTTCACCTTTAAGGTAGTCCCCTCTGGAAGTTTAATCGTTAAGTGACATGAGGTTTCCTTGAGTCATCACTGTTGTACTGTACCATATTTTTTTTATCCTTTCCTTTGCATTTCACATTGGCAGAGCAATGCACATTCCTATACACTGGTGCACTATTACCTTATGCAAAGTTTTAATCGTCCCAACCTTCTCTTACAGTGTTAAAATACACGTTGGGCATGGCAAAAATTGAATATTAATAATCTTTGAAATAGTTGTTCGCGGTACCCGCTGCTACATTTGATTTGAACCAGCCAGCTGACACCAGCAAGCTCGGTGATTGAGTGGTTAAGACATCTGCACTAGTAAGCAGGAGGTGGTGGGTACAAGTCTCACCCGAGTACGCTTGTTTTTCTCACAAGTCTTCGTGGGCATACACTGAGTATACAGTGTTGAAAAGATACACGTCGAGCAGGGTAAAAATCCAAAATTAATGTACATTTTGGTTTTTATGCCTGTAAAAATGTCCATATAGGAGCCCAAGCAGAACAGTACTAGTGTTTGAGTAGCTCTGTGTACAAATACACATGTATATCACACTTTTTTACATTTTTTGAGGACATGGCAGGTTCCTCAAAACGGAAGTCATGGCTTATGTCTGGAACAAATATGACCATGTCAACCTTTCAACTTAATTGGAGTTAATTAATTAAAGTTTCGAGAGTGCAAAAAAGCACCACCAATCCATAATCCTTTTATGACTGGACCGATCACATTTTCTTCAAGTATGTTCCCAAAAACCACAGTCCAAAATACCGATCGTGGCGATTTGCGGCTTCCATCAATCTCTCGCGGTGACATTAGAGAAAGATTTCACTGCATCGTGGCCTGTTTGACCTTTAACATCAACCCAGATAATGCGCCCTCTTTTTTATTCGATATTCATGAACCCCTCCGTGGAATGGCAACTCTCCGCGATTTTTCTCTTCGGAACAATTTTTCTCAAAAGAAAATCGGTCATTCTGAATAACGTTCGCAAAAAATACTGTTTGAGACATAAAATACGATTCATGATGAAAATCTAATGCTCAGAGTTGTTAATTTCAATTTTATTTTCAGCGGGGTTATCTCCAAAATAACCGGCAAAGTGAAAATTACGCATGGAATTTTCCAGCACTATATGTGACAGCATTTTCGGCATTCTCGAACGTTATGCAGTTTCTGTCAAAGCCTTCAAACGTGATCGAAATTCTGTCAAATATAACGTTCCCAATGAACATATCGTACTCATTATAAATTTTTGATGCAGCCAAACTTAAAGATAATTTTTGGTGGTCGAAATATACAAGACCTGGCAAATATGTTGGTATAGTGAGAGAGAATGAAGAGAGCCAAACTTTTCTCATCATTTTCCGTCAATTGTGTGCTCTTTTTTTTCGTGGCTTATATTTGTTAAAAGTTTTTTCTTAGTTTTCAAGATGTATTTTTGCATTCGGGATGCTAATTTATATAACAGGTTTTGCCCGTACCCAACGTATATATTAATAAACACTGTATGCTCAGTGCTTGTCCGAGAGCTTGCGGAAAAAAAGGGCAAAACCTGTTATATAAATTAACATCCCCAATGCAAAAATACATCTTGAAAATAGTCCGCGGTACCCGCTGCTTCACCTGACTCTGACCGTCCAGCTGACCCCGGCAAGCTTGGTGGTCGAGTGGTTCAGACGTCTGCACTAGTACGCAGGAGATCGTGGGTTCGAGTCCCACCCGTGTAAGCTTGTGACTNCCGGTTATATAAATTTTTCATAGTTGCTTTAAAATACATCAGTCGAAAAATATACTGAATTCTCCTTGTTAAGAGAAGTTTTGAAATCCTCTGGTGTAAACACTTTGAAGTAAAACTTTAAATGAATTCAACTCTGTTTGATTTGCACTGGTAGCCAACCAAATGTCCACCATAAGTACATATTATGCCTAATTATCCCCATATAATCATTTTTATAAATCTGAAGGTGCTAATTTGTATTTTACATGATCAAAGTCACTCTTTTAGAAGTTTTGAAAAATGATAGCCAAAGTTGCATTTTGGTCCATTTTATGAAGAACATGCCACATGGAAGTTCCACCTTTAATTGTTTATCCTGGTTAGCAGTCTCTCTGGACAAAAAATGAAAATGGCCATTGTTTGTTTAAAGCTTTGTTGATTGGGAATTTTGGGAGGCTAATTATTGTACTTTTTCTGATACCCTTTTGACAAGGAGTGCCTTTTGTGGCAAAAGGAAAGTGGCAGCCTCTAAAATGTGTTAGATGGAATGAATTTTAAAATTTGGAAACTATCACTTTTTTGTCACTTCCAAGTGACAAAAAACAAGAAGGTGGTAGTTTACTGTTTAGTGTAGTTTACTGTTGTAGCATACTACTGGTAGCAATGTGCTGAAAACAAATTGAGCTGAATGTCCACTGCATGTTTTTTTGAAGGGTTGTGCCAAAATACACGTTTGGTATAGCATCTCCCCAGTTTTTCACTGTAGCCCTTAAAAGTACATCTGTGTTAACAGTTTTCAGCTATTTTCGATAAGGTAGTTTGATTTTGTGTGTGTTTTTTATGCTAATGTATGTATGTTGAGTTCCATAATCAGGAGCAAAAACTAATGTCATTGCAGGGAGAAAGAATGAACCTTTCATTTGTTTGTGCCCCCAAACTGCTTGAGTTCTGCCATCTTGCTGGCCTAAATTTCTTTGGTGATTCATTGTTATGTAAGTCTGTGACACTAATCCAGCAAGCTTTCTCCAAAATTTACTATTTAGTAAAATCTGAACAGAAAAACCTTGTAAATGAATAATGCTGTTCTTGAGTGATATCTCACAACAGTGCCTGCAGTTGTTTTGAAAAAAGCAGGGGGAATTTGAAACATTTATTAATGTGCACTTTTCAATACTGTACATTTGTTTGTCAAATAATTTTAATTTCTGAAGTTGAAGAATATAAGTTTCACAAAATTGCTTGAACAAGTCATTATATGGACCCTCTAACATTGTTCTTCAATCTGTCTGGAACAGGAATACTATGATTCCCTTGGAGGGATAAAGAATGTGTTGACTGCTATCGGCAAAGCAGAGGAGCTTCAAAAATCTCTGATAACAAGGTAAAGGAACCATAATGAAACATGCACTTTAACTACCATATTACAGCCAGAATTACACATATCTATCACAGAATGATTACTGTGGAATAATAGCCAATGGTTTGGTTACTTTTGGCAGTGTTTTGTGTTACATACATGTACTTTAAGTAAAATTAACCGAGGTTAACCTTTTTGATCCTCCTATACGGTTGTAGCATGCTGCATGTCACCCACTGCAAGACAGTATTCGGAAACAGAAAACTTGTATTATGGCAACAACTGGAGTCATCAAATTTATTAGAACTAAGTATATCAATTAAAAATAAATACAGTGGAAGACCTATGAATATTAAAATTCAGCTGAGGTACATGTAGGTCTCTTCGGTGCAAGCTTTCAGTGAACTTCACTTCATCTAAAAAGCATCTAAAGGTGATGTAAAAGTGATCATCACAGAGGACAAATATGTTGCATAAAATAACATACATTGGATTGAAACTTTGCAGATGGCTAGAAAGGGAAGTGTGGTAAATGAAAGTTGACATGTGATGATGACGTCATCATTGACAAGTCATTTGACATTAAAGGTGCATCCCTTTAAGCCCTTTATTTTCCACAGTACACGTTCCGTTTGGTTGAAACTTTGCATATAGCTAGACAGGGAAGTGTCAGAGGAAAATTGACATGATTTGATGATGACGTGTTAATGTGACAAGTCACGTGACATTAAAGATGCATCCTTTAAAACCCCATATATTTCGAAGTATACTGTATGTCCCATCATGGAGGAAGGCAACAGAAGGAGTTTGAACTGCCCGGGCTATAACATCTGGTCAAATACCGCTTTCTGGCATACTCGGTATGTCCATAGCCAGAGCGCACCGCATGCCTGATACTCACCACCTGTTTTGCAACCATAAGCCCTCTTTGTACCCTATGATCGTCGCCGCAATTTTTCGTTGGTAATCTGCATCCCCAAAACATTGTGTACTGCAAAGTATAAAGTAATTGAAAGAAATTTAAAGGAGTCTCTCCTCAATTTGCATGTATTGAACTGACTGAAACTCAGATTGGATCTTAATTCAGTTACTCAGTAGTTCAGAAGCTGGATAATTGTTTAAGCAATGAACACGGCAATAAAAACTAATTTCAGAATTACATCAAAATATATGAGCGGCTCCAGTCACATCAGTTACTGGAATAAAGCAAATCAAAGTTCAGCTAAATAAATCATTGAAACAAAATACAAATCATGAACTTTAACTGTATGAAGCAAAGCAGAAGAAAGCAAACAAAACCATTTTAAAATTTTGCTTTCTTGTGGAATCAAAATCATTTGAAATAAGCTTATGATTCTAACGATGAACAAAGAAATTGACTGGAGTGGGATTTTAACCTGCGGCCCCTGGAATACCGTACCAGTGCTCTACCAACTGAGCTACCCAGCCCTATGTTGGTGGCTCTTCATATTTGTCAATATCTCTGTTCGGGGGGTGCTAGCCAGAAGCCATTAAACCTGAAACACCATGTAGCCAGGGATCACACCCCAATTACATGATACAACCTGGAAAGTGGTGAACAGGGATAACTCAGAGAGGATACGGCTCTTTGAACGTAAATCATGAAACAAATCATATAGGGAAGCTGACTATGGTAGGTGCTTATGAATGATTCTTAAGATGAACAAAGAAATTGACTGAATCATTCATAAGCACCTACTCAGTTTCCCTATATGATTTGTTTCATAAAATAAGGTTATGTTCACAAACTCTTTCATCCTGAGCTCTGTTGTATGCGATTATTTTCATACGCAATCTATCCCAGAAGAAACCTGTTTGTCGCTTTAATTCCTCAACTTGAAACAATAGTATTGGTATTGCACGTAATAGAGCCTTAATTTACCAAATCCATCCAAATGCACCTTTGTGTCTTGGTTATTACCTTATTTTCAACTTTTTTTTTCATTATTCAGGTCGTAGGCTGGGGGGGAGAGTTCAGGGGATTTGAATGAACCCCCTTCACTTGCTTCTGAGTTCCGCTCTTTGGTGGTTTTTTTTTTGGTAATAACTATATAATTTTAATATACTATAATTTTCGGAATGTAAGCTGCAGTTTATACATTAATTCTCATGTGGAAAATATATCTGTGGTTTATAATGAACTGCAGGCAGTTTTTACGGCAACATTTAAAGGATGAAATCAGTCACTAAACACCGCTCCATGCCTCAACGCAGCCTAACCTGGGCCGCCGCCGTGGCCGGCCAGCCCCGTGTACCAGTGGCGCGGCGCAGCGTTCCAGGCATGGGGACAAAGCAGTCATGTTTTCATTGGTTGCCGTTTACAGTGGCTGCCATTTACTTTGACTCTACTCACGTGTTGGATATGAAGGAAACCAGTCTAGAAAGACTGAATAGACTTGTAAATGCCCTGTAAGTACCGTTCGCACCTCACATATTATGTGGTACGTCTGTTCGTTTTGTCTTTTGCTATTTCGTAATCCATATTGTTTATCATTTTACTGGCCTTAAAAAGAACAGCTGCATGGCCCACCCAGCGAGGACTCAGGACACTAATCCATCCCACTAAACTTGGTATTTTCGAGGACTCAAGAAAGTTTAGGCATAATGAAAACACTCGTTCATGGGCACTTTAAATTTTTGCTTCTAACGTTTGTGTATGGAGCAATATTTTATCGCCAATTTCACAAAAGGTGAAACTTAAACTCCAAATACAGTAGTTTGATTCATAAATTTTGATTTCATATACATGTACCTGCTACAAAGTTCTGATGACATGTTAATTTGGTCCTTTTTTCCAAAGTGCGAAATGAAATGCTCCCCAAAATATTTGTTTTTACCATTTTTAGTTAGGTGAGTGGAGGTAATAATGATTTACTAGAATGTATCACTTTTTTAGAACTTCTGAATTTTTGGGGGGATTTTCTGAGATTTTTTTTAATAATGATGTTCATATCATTCACTCACCCAGCGCCCGATTCAAGGTGCAGGATGAAGAGCAAATTCATTACCAGGCCAATTTACAACACGCCGTGAATATTGAAAACTGAAGTAGGGGGCCTATACAAGTCTGACATGCATCCTTCAGTTCGCGACAAACATGGAACTTGTTCGATGTTGTGCTCCAAAGCACATTATGATAGGCCTTTGTATACAAATATGTGTTCACAGTGCCAAAAGTTCCACTTTTGGGTTTGACAAACCCCCAGTCTTTGGTCAGGCAGCGGGCCTGTTATTTGAAAGGGTATTTCACTGCTTGTTTGATTTTTATGCTAATTAGTATTTCCATATTCCTGAGCAAAATTGTGATGTCATCCCAGAAAGAAAGCCTCATTGTTACACTGGTTTGTGCACAAAAAAGTCCCGCACTTTTAGCTGTTTCAGGGAAACAGCCTTTATTTTCCTCAATTTTGTTTGGCTTTTTCTCAAGTTGTGAAAAAGGCCTTGTTTTTTGTTGTGTTTTTTTGGGGGGGTGGGTTTTTTTGCAATGTTGCGAAAAAGGCACTACTTCTGCGAAGAAGCTATTGTTTTTGTTCTCCGGTTCGCGATGGTCTAGTACAGGACACTTTTCAAGAGACAGGAACAGAAACCCCTCAAAATGCAGCAGTTTTTTTTTTGGGAGAAAACATTGGGGATTAAGAGGGTGAAAAATGCATGATTGTGCAATACCCCTTTACACGTCAATGCACATGGTGGGAGGATGGGGGATAGGGTGATTTTTACTAGGTCAAAACGTGACCCGCGTCAGAAGATCAGATTTTTCGATGGAAACAGCTTCTCCAGAGTACACAAGTTGGTTATGATAGGATTAAGGGAGACATGCTTTAGGTCATGAAACCTGATTGAAAAAAAAAGAAATATTCCAGGGAATACGACATCGGTGCACATGC